CTTTGGTGTCCCCCCGAGTACTAGCAGCTGTCATTTTTTTTCCATTGGGACTGTTCAGTTTTCCAGAGGAAAATTTTCCACTTTACTGCCTGTAGAGTCAGTGCCAGTCTATCTACCAGATGTCTTGTAATTTAAAAAACTATAATATTGAAAAATATTTTTTTCCTGCATCTCTACTTTGATGAGGTCTTATTTCCATTGACCACCTTCCCAAAGAATAGTTTCTGCCCTTCTCATTGTATGGTAGAATGACTGCTAATCCTGTGATTCTGTCTTGAATGGGATTGTGGGAATAGCAGTGTTCAGTGCAGTCTATTAATGGATCTTGACTTCTGTACTATCTGAGCTGTCCCTTTTGGACCTCTGATTTGTCTTTAATGATACAGTTTACACTGTTTCCATTTGATCCATAGTGAAACACTTCACTAGAGTAGGGTTTATATTTTACCTGACCAAATTTATAAGGGAAAACAATCATGTTACAAAGTTCAGTATCATACTTTAAATTTAAAGCTCTTTTGTGTTTTGGTTACGTAAAGTGGTTTGTACTATACTGTGTCAGTGTTAGGTAATCTTTTTTGCCTTGCTTTGCTTCTTTACCAGCTTGGGAACAATGGATTCCCACTGGATGAAGTCCTGTTTTTCAAATGCCAGCTCTAGGATCTCTGATCCAGCACAGATGCTCTTTCTGTGACTTTTGCTATTTTCTCACTGGGATTTTTTTCTTGTTTAGAAGAAACTGAAAATAGATCCAGATCTTTATTCCTCCAAGATGACTGTCTATATTGGGAACAAAGGGAAAGAGTGTATGTGTGGAAAGAGGTCATGGAAGCTGGAGCACCTTTGTGGTTTATGCTTTGTATAAATGCCTCTGTGAATAACTCATGGGATTTTTCCCCTCTAGACCTTACCTTTTTCCTTAGGCAGATGGAGAAAGATACATACCAAAAATGAGAGGGAAACATGACGAGGGGTAAGTGGTGAAGACATGTACACTTGGAAGAGAGCTTGAGGTTCTCAGGGAGAGAGCTGCACAAGATAATGATGAATAGATGCAAACAGATGGATCAAGAAAAGTCATGAGACATTGAGGTCTGAAGTTTTAGTAGCTCTGTACTCTGTTCTTTATTCTCCTCACTGCCCATTGTTTTTAGATGAACAGTGTCTTCAAAGAAATATAGATCCAGGGGATGGGGGAACGGGAGAACCAGGCAGAGAAAACAGCATGGCATAACCCTGGAGTCAGGGATGCTCAGGTCTTAGCCTCCACTTGACCTACCTCCTACCCCACAGCCTGGAGGGACCTCCCTTCTACAACCCACCAACCCCAAAAGTGGAGCTGGAAGAGCAGGAGATAACCCTCCTAGCTCTTCACTCTGGGGGCCTTGGAGCACAGCCCACTCAAGACCCCCTACTTTGACACTGGTGTCTCATGCACTGAGCAGGAAGTGCCTCAGTACCATGAATTGCCCACCTTGGAAAAGTGGTCTGGACCCTTGCACCCTGGAGCCACAAGCCTGGGGTCCCCCATCCTGGTGCCTCCAGGGCCACCTCCTGTGGAAGTGGTTTCCCTGGATCTAGAGGATGGGGAAGAGGAGGAAGACTATCTGGACAAGATCAACCCTGTTTATGATGCCCTGTCCTACAGCAGCCTGTTGGATTCCTATCAGGGCAAAGACTTTGTCATGTCCTGAGCCATGTATGTGTGAGCTACCATGGGCCTGCTTCTTGCATCTCACCTATTGATTTATTAGTTTTCTTGACAAGGATCTAGTGCCCCCTGACCTCTGGCCAGACCACTCTCAGTTAACACACATCCATTTCATTTGTGACTTCTACCTTGGTGGCTTTACTATAACCCCTAACCCATGAGCTCAGAGAAATTCACCATGCTAATGGAATCCTGGTAACCTTATGAGGCGGGAGGTAGGAAAGGTGCTTCTGCACAACCTCTGACCCCAAGGAGTCCTCTCTCAGACTGTGGCCTTAGACCATACCTCTCACCTCCCACCAATGGCTATAATTTGTCTTCAGGCAGTAAATTCCTAATAGGTCTGTTGGAGTGGGTGCTAAGGGCTCCCTGCTGCTCAGACCTGAGCCCTCCAGGCAGCAGGGCGCCACTTACCCCCTCCTAACCCTGTTCTCTGAAGGTGGGAGAGAGGGGATTCCCCAGCCCAAGGCAGAGTTTTCTAAGCACCCTCCTGCAAGCAGAAGTCTCTGGGTCCAGACCCTTCCCTGAGACCCGCTCCACTCACCCCAATTTCTACCTACAGAGCAAGAAGCCCCATCCTAGTGCTAGACGGGGTGAGCCTCATGCGGACTGTGCCTTGACGGCCCCAGCCTTGGGAGAATTTACTGTTAACCTGGAAGACTGCTGAGTCATTTTACCCCTGTCCAGCGGAATAGGACCTAAACGTCCCCCTTCGGGGGAAAGTGGGTCATCTGGATTGGAGGGTAGCAATTGATACTGTTTTGTAAACTACATTTCCTAAAAAATATGAATTTATGCTTTGAAAAAAAATACAAGTCTAGACTTTGCTAGAGGGAGAATGATCTACTTGGTCATGTTGGACTGATCAAGTTAAACTTCAGTTTTAATGAAGTTAGGTTACACACACTGAATTTCAGGACAGAAGTAGTTACGATAACTGTATTGTACATCTGTGATTTAAAAATAAATAATGGAATGGCCATATGAGGATTAACAAGACTGATTTCTGTGTTAACCAGAGTTCATTAGGCTTTCTACAGCCTTCCTTGTAGGAGAGAGGAAACAAAATGCATTTGCTTTTGTCCAAATTCATATGATAATTTTAGCGTTAATCACCATGAACCTTTGCATTAGAGTTCCTAGGTCAGGATGTGTTGCCAATTGTAGACCAGAGAGCAGAAAAGGGAAAGAATTCTACTTTTTTCCTGAGTTCCTTTCAGGCCCTGGAAAAATAAGATGGTGTCAAAAATAGGAGACAGAATACAGATGTGATTGAATTAGAGACCCTCAAACCATTTGATCCCATAACATAGAGTTTCAATTTATAATCAGCTCCTTCAAATGACACTCTCTCCACCAGCATCTCCTTCTACTAGGTTTAAGCCCCTACTCCTACCCATCAGTCTGTTTACCACCTTTTCTAAAAATTATTGTCCTTATGTTTGTTTCAACCAGTTGCCCAAGGGTAGGGTTTGAGGCATATTGATCTCTATATCCCACTACTTAGCCCAGTGTCAAGAAAGCACTTAATAAATGTATGTTTGTGAATGTCACCCAGAAGTGTTCATCACCTTACCTTACCATTGGTTTCCAGGACTGGAAATTCTATAGCGGTAGCTTAGGTTAGGCCAGGCCTCAGTCATTGATTTATGAGCTGTTAAAAAGTCATCAGGAATCCCATTTCTTTTCTGCTCTACCTCTCTGAATGGCCCACTTAATCTTAAAGCTGGCTCCTTCTCAGGGCTGCAGATTGGCTGTCAGCAATTTTGTAGGCCATATCTTTCCTAGACTTTGTGTGTGCCTGTGTACAGGGGAAGGGAAGGTTGGATGGTAGTGTGTTAAGAGAATCTGAGCTTTTTACTTATTGAACCACTTCAGAACCAGTCCCAGTGGCCAGGGAGTGTCATTTGCATCTGGGTTAAGTCGTGAATTTCTTGAATCAATTATGATGAAAAAGGGGAGAGAATGACTCCTATTGGCTTAGATAGACTAGGTTCACCCTGCAGCGGGATGGGATGAGCTTTCTCTGAAGCACATGAACTACAGGAAGAATGGACACCTACCTGGAAACCTGACTACTGTTAGGAGGGGAGAATATGGGTGTTGTGTTGGCAATCAGCAAAATCCACCACTACTGTAGCCCAGATTTTCTAGTGAACCTAGACTATTTATGACTATTCCATCCTTTATATAATAAAAGTCACTTAGGAATTTATTGGTTGCATGTTATGGAAAAGAGTTAATAGTGATATTATTGCATTTTAAATCTGAAACTCTTCTCTACTATTTGGTTGCGGATAGAAAACACTCAAATAGGTAAAAAGTTAACTATCGATATAAGATATGGGTAACAGTGCAAGGCAGCAGTATGACAGATGATATCATGTTTGAGTGAGTCATCCATAGAGTATATACTTTGCATTCCCCAGTAATTGTTTGTTTTAAATCTGAAAGTCACTGTGCCAGGCACTGTGGAGGTTAAAGAGATAACAGAAACAAGATGCTGGTCCTGGAAACTTCAAGCCCAATCAAGAGAATGATTGACAGGCTTGAGGGCTGGGAAGCGTGGCTTCCCTCACAGAAGCAAACCACCGAGGACAGCGTCCTGTAAACACAAATAAGGGTTCCTGCCGAACCCTCCAGAGTCTCAGGGACCTGGATAGGCAGAGGAGACAGTTGGCATTCTTTATAGACAGCACTGTCCAACTGCCCAGAGCAGCAGGTCTAGTGAGAACCAGATCATCCCAATCCCTAGAGCAATGGTGGTGGTTACAAACTTTGGTTGGTCATCACTGGCAGTGTTGCTTGTTAGAAGACCCCGCTGTGGCTCAACCCTGTTGATTGGAGAGTTTCTAGTAGTGGATCAGCTTCCACTGATATGGCTCATAGTGCTGTTAGAACACTTTCTTAAAGCTATCCAATCACATTTATGGACGTTTGAGAGGATTTAAAAAACAAAATATCTTGTTACTCCTTTAACACATTTATTTAGGGGACTGCCTTGTGCCAGACACTGTGCAGTGCTCTAGGGACATGGTAGTGATCCAAAACTTACTTGATTTCTGCTGTCACAGCCTACAGTCTAGTGGGGCAAATAGGCAAAAGGCAAATAAATATATAAGATAATTGTCAATTGTAGTGATGGTGAGAAGAAAACAAAATGGGCAGAGCTAGAGATCTGCACAAGGCTTGATACATCTTTAAGGTATTTTGTAAATGATCTTATGGGTTAGAATTTTATTCCTGATGATTCCTGATGCAAATGATTTTCATTCTTTTTGTCTCTTAGGTGTACTTTACAGGTCCCCGATGAACCCAGAGAACCCTCCACCATATCCGGGCCCTGGTCCAACGGCCCCATACCCACCTTATCCACCACAACCAATGGGTCCAGGACCTATGGGGGGACCCTACCCACCTCCTCAAGGGTACCCCTACCAAGGATACCCACAGTACGGCTGGCAGGGCGGACCTCAGGAGCCTCCTAAAACCACAGGTGTGTGTCTGTGAATATGTTGGTGTGCATGTGTGCAGTTCCATGTCACCAAAGGAAATGTTTGCATGTTTTCTTTGGCAGAGAAGAAACTCTTTCCGGCCTTTGCAACTTGTGCTTGATGTCCCCAAAGCTTGATGATGGCTTAAGGTGGCTTTTTACTCCTGAGAAGAGGCCCAAGTCAGCTCTGCCTACTACATTCACACCTCTTGTCCCCTCTGGGGCTGATAACCTGGCCAGTGTGTTTCCTGAGGGCCACCCTCTAGAGCACTGGGGAGTGGGGAGGGAATTACCAGTTGGGTCTTTGCTCTGCAGCCAACTTTGTATTTTAGGTTTAGTAATTAACCTCTTGACTTTATTTTATCTGTCTGCTTGTTGACCCTCAAGTCATCTTGTTGCCCCTGCTACTGGGTTTGGTTTTGTTTTTTTTTTTAACTAAATGTTTTCATAATTCTATTTAACCTGCCAGTTGAGTTTTCAGGAGGCTCTTGAGTCCTTCTTGGGTGCTGGAACAGTGCTACTCAAAGTTCAGTCTGCAGACAAATGCCTGCCAATGAACAGTGAACAGTTATGGATTATATAATAAGTGCAGAAAGTGAGAGTAAACATTTAGAAACTTTTAGAACAATTTGTTATTGCTGTGACATCCAAGCATGTAATCTTGCATTTTATAGAAAGTATCAGTCTGTGAAGGATTAAAAATAAAATATCTTGAGAAGCACTCTGCCAGATGTCTTGGTCACTATTTTATAGCCCTTTGGTTGGCAGAATAGCTGCTTTCTTAATAGCTCTTTCAGCTTTTTAAGATAGCTAATTCTTAAAAAGTGCTTATTATGGCCAGGCATGGTGGCTCACACCTGTAATTCCACCTTTGGGAGGCCGAAGTGGGTGGATCACTCGAGGTGAGGAGTTCAGACCAGCGTGGCCAACATGGTGAAACCCCATCTCTACGAAAAATACAAAAATTAGCTGAGCATGGTTGTATGTGTCTGTAGTCCTAGCTACTTGAGAGGCTGAGGGAGGAGAATGGCTTGAACCTGGGAGGCAGAGGTTGCAATGAGCTGAGATCGCACCACTGCACTCCAGCCCGGGCAACTGAGCAAGACTCCATCTCAAAAAAAAAAAGTGTTTATTTTGTGTCACATGGTCTCTTAAGAGCTTTATAATACATTAACATTTAATCCTTGCAACAATCCTATGAAGTTATTCCCATTTTATAGTGATGTTATAGAGGTACAAAGTTAGAGTAATGACTTCCCCAAGGTCATCCAGCTAGAAGGAGCACTTTCCAGATTAGAATTCTGATAGTTTGGCCTCAAAATCTGTACCTATAATTTATTGCTCTAACTGTTGTGTCTCTCCTGCCTTTTCTGAGCTGACTCACATTCATCTGAATTTACTACCTTATGCTTCCTCTGAGAGATTTTCCTATCATTTAATTCTTTACTAATGAAAGTAATAACAGAATTGATGGTTAATTTTATTCTATGACTTGAAGATTCTCTGGAATAAGAATTTTGCATTCATGGAAAAAGATTATACTTTTTTTTTTTTTTTTTTTTTTTTTTTTGAGATGGAGTCTCACACTCTCTCCCAGGCTGTAGTGCAATGGGTTCAAGCAATTCTCCTGCCTCAACCTCCGGAGTAGCTGGGACTACAGGCGTGCGCCACCATACCCAGCTAATTTTTTTTATATTTTTAGTAGAGACGGGGTTTCACTATGTTGGCCAGGATGGTCTCGATCTCCTGACCTCATGATCCACCTGCCTCGGCCTCCCAAAGTGCTGGAATTACAGACGTGAGCCACCACGCCTGGCGGAAAAGATTATACTTTTATAATTCCAAAGCTTATACTTTGTTAAGCTTGAATAGAATATTTGAATACCTTTAAAGAATTTAGTTTATCTGGAAGGAAACTTTTGCAATCCAAGATTATAGTCTGTTGTAGCAGTTTTTATAATGCATGCTCGAAAGATGGCAGAAAGTAATAACCAGTGTAATCAGAGTAGTTGATTACACTGAGTCATGTCAGGCCTGTGACATCAGAGGAAGATTTTCTGAAAATAAACCTCAGCTTCTGGGCTTTCTGCTTCAAAATAAGGTAACCCTGTGTGAATGGAAGAAAGCAGAAAAGACTACATATGGTATGATTCCATTTATGTGAAATTCAAAAACAGACAAAAAGTATCTATAATGCCAGAGATCAAAATAATGGTTACTCCTGGCTGTGAAGTTGGGAAACTAGGGTAAGACTGGTTATTCATTGGAATGGGAAGAAAGGAACCTTCTGGGGTGTTAGGAATATTCTATATCTTAATCTTGATATAAATATTCTTCAAGATAGTTATGACTTGTGTACTTTGCTATACATTATATGTCAGTGGAAAAACATAGCCCAGCATTTGAGTTATCTGGTAGACCCAGCCCAATGCCTGCCTTGTGTTAGGTCTTTCACCTATAGCCCTCATGCTTCCTGTTCATTTCTAGGCCAATATTGTGTATACTGACTCTCTAACTAGCATTTGAAGAGTTTAGAACTTTATTGAGTTTGTTTAGCATAAGTGCTTCCTAGGTTCAGTGGACTTTGTCCACTGTTTGTGCAGAAAATACAGATTTGGTCATCTGTCTTACCTTTCATGTAATTTAAGTATTGATGTCAGCCTTTTGGATGAAAAATAATTTCTTAATTCTTTTTAGGGTTAAATGGCTCTTTAGTTCATTCAGTGTTACCAATCACAATTGATTTCACAAATCCAGTTGAAAGCTGTTTAATATCCTTTCCTACAGATATACTTAGGAATTTCTTTCTCTGTCATTAGCTTGTGAATTGTTAACTGCCCAGATCCATTGTGTACCTAAACATAGCAGGTAGTGCTAAATGGTTAAGTTTTGTCATCTGGGGTCCAGGTTCTGTGAATGGAACTCTTGGAAGGATGTAGGCTCACTGAGGGACGAACCCTTTAGGGGACCCATTTCATTCCTTGCTCTGGTACTGCTTGTGGGATTCCCAGTCAGAATTATGTGTTCTCATGCTGTGTATCTGAGCTCTATATGGAAATTTCAGCTTTTTCTTTCCAGCTGGATGATTTTAGATTTATCTACTCTATAGATATTCTCTCTCCACTCAAGTTCAGGTGTGTAGTATATTATTTTAATGACTACATAGGTAGAAATGGTTTCTTTTTCAAAGGAGGGAGGATCTCCTTTATTCTTAATTTGTATCTGGTAATTAGTTAGGGCTTAAGAAAGGGGTGATGGGGCCGGGCACAGTGGCTCACGCCTGTAATCCCAGCACTTTGGGAGGCCTAGGTGGGCCAATTGCCTGAGCTCAGGAGTTTGAGACCAGCCTGGGCAACACAGTGAAACCTTTTCTCTACTAAAATACAAAAACTTAGCCAGGTGTGGTGGTGTACACCTGTAGTCCCAGCTACTCAGGAGGCTGAGGCAGGAGAATTACTTGAACCCAGGAGGCAGAGGTTGCAGTGAGCCCAGATTACTCCACTGTACTCCAGCCTGGGTGACAGAGTCTTGAATGGATGGGTAGGATGGGTAGGGTGGGTAGATGGCTAACCTAAACAGAACCTTTCTTGGTCATCTGTTTATGATTCAGAATTCATGTCAGAGATTGTAGCAAAAAAAAAAAAAAAGCCCATCTTTTGTTTTTGTAAAAAGCCACCCTGTTGGAGGCCATGTGATTGGAAGCAGCAAGTGTTTGTGGGAATAAGGCCTTCCAGAAGAGCATACCTGCAGATTATGTCAAGGATCTCCTGGGTGGTTTTTAAGAATAACAACTAGTATTTCTTGAGCACCATGCTTGGTGTTAGCTTTATGTAATCTTCACGACAACCGCATGGTATCAGTCCCATGTTATGGAAGTGGAATCTGAGGCTCAGAAAGGTTGTGTCTAAGTTATCTGTTGTGCAACATATCACTCCCAACTCACTGGCTTAAAACAACAATGATTTATTATTTCTCATGATTCTCTGAGTTGTCTGGGAGGGTCTTCTTGCTTCGTGTGATCTCTTCTGGGGTCATTCATGTTACTTAATTCAGCTGTCAGCCTGCTTGGGTGTAGGCTATCCAAGATGACCTTACTCACATGACGAGGGTGTCTTGGTTTGCCTCCATGAGGCCTGTTTCAGCACACGGTCTCTCATCATTGGGTGGTCTAGCCCGAGCTGCTTTATATAACAACTAGCTTCCAACAGAGTGAAAATGGAAGCTGCCAGGATTTTGGGCTCGGCCCAGAACTGGCACAGCATCACTTACCCCTTATTCCAGTGTTCAAAACAAGTCTCAAGGCCAGCTACTTTCAATAGGAGGGGGAAAAGATACTACCACCCTCCTCCCCTTCTTTTTTTGGTAAAAGTTTTATTGAAATATAATTCATGTACTGTACAATTCACCCATTTAAAGTTGTACAATCCAATGGTTTTCAGTATATCAACAGTTTTTCAGCCATCACCACTATCATAATTCTATAACATTTTTTTTCTTTTTTTTTTTTATTATACTTTAAGTAGTGAGATACATGTGCAGAACATGCAGGTTTGTTACATAGGTATATAGGTGCCATGGTGGTTTGTTGCACCCATCAACCTGTCATCTATATTAGGTATTTCTCCTAATGGTATTCCTCCCCTAGCCCCCCAACCCCATGACAGGCCCCAGTATGTGATGTTCTGCTGCCTGTGTCCATGTGTTTTCATTGTTCCACTTACGAATGAGAACATGCAGTGTTTAGTTTTCTGTTCCTGTGGTAGTTTGCTGAGAATGATGGTTTCCAGCTTCATCCCTGTCCCTGCAAAGGACATGAACTCGTCCTTTTTTTATGACTGCGTAGTATTCCATGGTATATATGTGCCACATTTTCTTTATTCAGTCTATCATTGATGGGCATTTGGGTTGGTTCCAAGTCTTTGCTACTGTGAATAGTGCTGCAATAAACATACATGTGCATGTGTCTTTATAGTAGAATGATTTATAATCCTTTGGGTATATACCCAGTAATGGGATTGCTGGGTCAGATGGTATTTCTGGTTCTAGATCCTTGAGGAATCACCACACTGTGTTCCACAATGGTTGAACTAATTTACACTCCCACCAACAGCGCAAAAGTGTTCCTGTTTCTCTACATCCTCTCCAGCATCTGTTGTTTTCTTTTTATTGTTGTTTGTTTGTTTGTTTGTTTTGTTTTGTTTTTTGAGACAGAGTCTTGCTCTGTTGCCCGGGCTGGAGTGCGGTGGCATGATCTCGGCTCACTGCAACCTCTGCCTCCCAGGCAGAATTCAAGCCTCTGCCTCCCTGGAGAATTCAAGCAATTCTTCTGCCTCAGCCTCCTGAGTAGCTTGGATTAGACGCACGCACCACCATACCCAGCTCATTTTTGTATTTTTAGTAGAGATGGGGTTTCACCATGTTGGTCAGGCTGGTCTTGAACTCCTGACCTCATGATTCGCCCACCTCAGCCTCCCAACATGCTGGGATTTACAGGCGTGAGCCACCGCACTTGGCCATTTCCTGACTTTTTAATGATCACCATTCTAACTGGGATGAGTTAGTATCTCATTGTGATACTACTATAGTATCTCATTGTGATAGTATCTCATTGTGATTTCTCTAATGATGAGTAATGATGAGCTTTTTTAAATGTTTGTTGGTCACATAAATGTCTTCTTTTGAGAAGTGTCATTCTTTGCCCACTTTTTTTATTTTTATTTTTTGCTCTATCACCAGGCTGGAGTGCAGTGGCACAATCTCGGCTCACTGCAAACTCCGCCTCCTGGATTCAGGCAATTCTCC